CCAGCACAGAGGCCGTTCCAGCGAGTGGCAATGGATTTCCTGGGTCCCCTTACTTCGTCGCAAGATGGAAACAAATATGTCGTGGTCATAATCGACTATCACACGAAGTGGGTTGAGACAGTGGCCACCCCTGACGCAACTGCGGCCTCCGCTGCCAAGGCCTTTATGCAAGCAGTGGTTCTTCGCCATGGAGCACCGGAGACCGTTTTAACCGACAGGGGTCGCCACTTCGTTTCCGAGATGATGGAGGAACTCTTTCGTCTTCTGGACACCAACCACGCCCGAACCACGGCTTACCATCCCCAAACGAACGGACTGTGCGAGAGATTCAATCGAACCTTGGCTGATATGATCAGCAAATACGTCTCCTCCAGTCATCAAGATTGGGATCAGTTTCTACCGTACGCAATGTTCGCGTATAACTCCTCGGTGCACGACACTACCGGTTATTCGCCGTTCTTTCTTCTCTACGGGCATGAGCCCACACTTCCCATCGACGCCATGCTCCATCTGCAGCTTGAACACGTCAAGACTCCGTCGAACGAAGAGGTCATGAGGAAGTGGGAAAGCGCGAAGCAGATCGTCGCGGAACGTGAGCGACGGGCCCAGAAGAACAACAAGGAGAGGTACGACCAGCACCGACGCACAGCGCGCTTCAAGCCCGGGGACCTTGTGTACATACGTATGCCTACTTCAAAGCGAGGGAGGACAACTAAGTTCCTACATGCCTATCACGGGCCCTTCATGGTGGTCCGACAGACAGCCGAAAATGATTGGGAGGTTGAGAATCGCAGAGGAAAGCTGGACGTGGTGAATGTGAATCGCATGAAGCCCTTCGTGGTGCGTGACGAGAACAGCGAACGAGTTAGCAGCGACGACTCCACGGAAACATACACACCCGAAGGTCCGACAGGGGACCACCGTGACATTCCCGAGGAATTCCACGATGCTCAAGACACCCTCACTCAGGACCAAGCGTGTGGGGAACCTCGGCGTTCCCAAGTGAGCGACACCGTAGCGGTGCCAGTGCCGGCATCAGTGCTGGAACCTGTGTCAGTGCCAGTGCTTAGGTCAGCTCGTGAGCTACAGACAGGCTCTAATCAGGAGACGAACGAACGAAACCGCCGAGCTTCCACCCGATTGCAGTGGAGCGACTTTTTGTATTACTAGTTTTTCTCAGACTTTCATTGTCTGGATCAACTGTTGCAACGGACTGATTTTGTGTATTACTAGTTTTTCGCACAGACTTTCATTTTCTGGATCAACTGTTGCAACGGACTGATTTTGTGTGTTACTGATTTTTCTCACAGATAATTTGATGTCTCGTTCACAGTGGACAAACGTTTGTGTAACACTGATTTCTCTTCACGGGTTTTGTTCCGTATGTCTGAGTGAGGGCACTCAGCCCTTTTTGGCGGGGGATATTTGTAACGTTGAAAATGAAACTAAAATAAATGGTTGACTGACGGGCCAACAGATGGAGCCAGAAGGTTATCTAATCTACGCGCGCGCTCTCTCCCTCTCTCACGAGGGAAAGCGGGACGCGTCTTCCCCAAAAACTTCTGGCCTCGGAAGGATACAAAAAGAGCCGCCCAGGCGTACTCGGGGGGGTTGTCCGTTCCTCGCGACAGCCGGAGATTGCGTCTTGACCCAAACCTGACCTCTCCCGGCTGAAGCGTTCGGCGAGCTCAGTCGGCCCGTGCTAGAGCAGCCTTAAAAGTTACTCCTCGTCTGCTGTCGTTAATTTTGCGTGCGACAATACTAAAGATGTCACTTCGACACTGGCCAGCCCTGATGCATCCTCAAGAACTTTCGCAGCATTAGGCTTACAATGAAGCTAGGTAGTTACGATGAAGTGGTGCACGAAATAATGCAATCTCGAAACTCCAGTCTCAAAACCCACGCCGTGTTATCTCCCCCGCCTCCAAGTCCCCGGCTGTCAAAACTTATGCACAAGCACCCCCGTATCAATTCCCCGTGGTGTACCTGACATCCTTGTTATCCCTTGACCATACCGGGCCAAGATCAGTTGACAGGGTCGGTCTAGGTCAGAGGGTCAAACACATGACTTCAGCTTTGTCTTGAAGGTCAGGCTAAATTTTTATTTAAGAAGTTTTCAACAGGGAATGCCTTTAAGACGTAATTCGGCTGCTGGAGATGGAGCCTAAATACTTGCAGACACAGAAAGGAAAGAGCTCAGCGGTCATCAACGGGTGAAAGCATACTGCTTTCAGCACAAACACCAAAATGACAGGATTGCCCGGCGGTGTGCAAAATACTGGTCGCGGAACTGCAAAGCAGCGGTGTTTATGAAAGGAAGAAGGGTATTCAAAAATCACAAGGTAAATATATTTCCCTCTTTTTCGTTAAGCTCTTTAGAGACTATAACTTCCACAGCTCAGGCAAGGCTTGTTTCGATACGTCCCTTGGTGAAGCAATTGATTATGTCGATACACGTTGCGGCGCACACTCATCCAGCCGATGACAGCAAACTCTGCGAAGCGCGATTGAAGAATGCTTTGACAAAGAAGGTCTGACCGGAGCCACATGTGCCAGTTAGAAGTATACTGCGAAGAGAGCATGGGCTTAGTGGGCCAGGAAAGTATACCGTAAAATACCGGCGGAGCACCCACCCCATTTTCACTGAAAACCGGATTAATCTAAACATGGGCACTTGTCTAGTCAAATTGGAGAGTTAAAGGGATGGTGAATCAAAAATTTAGATTTCAGAAAACAATGCAGGAGCTGCAGGCGGGACGCTACAACCCCTACAACACTACTCGCAAGGCAATATCTCAAATGGACGGCTGTATTTTTGGAAAAAGAGGTAGAGATTGAACAAGGCCGACGAGGCGTGCGACGCCCAAATATCTCGATTTCTCCTCTCTTCGCTTCGCCCCCTCAATGCGGTGAGGCGGAGAAGACGCGAGGCTGTTCCCTCTCCTTCTCTACTCTTCTTGGAGGAACAAGACAACAACATATCTGTAAAATGCGCCTCCTTTTTTCTTAGAAAATACGATCATCCATACAAGATATCGCTGTATGAGTGATGTTTTGGTGTTTGTAGCATCCCGTCGCACGCTTTTGCTGCCGTGTTTTGTGGAATTCAGATTTCGGTTCAGCATCCCTTTAACGTATAATTTGCAGAAATTCCAAGTTTGGAAAATGCTAATAGTGGGCGCTTGAACAAAGTGGGCGCCTCTGCGGTATTTTACGGCAAATTGGCACCATAACCGTGATGGAATCATCTTACGTGGCAACTGTTTCTCGTGTGGGTGGACGACGCCGTAATTGCAGGCCTTTTCAATTTGGAGAGCGTGAGAAACATCCTTTATCGGGAAAAGGAGAAACAGCAGCCTAATCTGACAAGGGATCGGTCCGAGATCAACCTGGGGCTATTGCACGCAAAGACTCGATAAACGGAGCTTTCTACTATTTGTCTTCACCACAACCGCACATCGCAGTCCTTGTTTTGACATATAGAAGGCGCTGGATTACTTTTTGGAAGCTGACAAAGTGTACATCGATGGAATGTTTTTCTCCTGTCCATCCTTGTTTCATTAGATGGTCACAATCAGCACTGTCAAACATTGGAGGGAGTTTTAACATTGCATACTTCCTTCTGCCTGGGAAGTCTCGGGAAGTGTATGTCACTGCGCTCACAAACTTCAAGCCTGCGTTGGACTCTCTTCGTAAACTTCTCTCACTCAGCCTTGTCTGGACGGACTTTGAACTGGCACTTATGCAGGCACTCCTGTTCATGTTTCCTGACGTTCGGCACAGTGGCTGCCACTTCCAATTTGCCCAAGCAATCTGGCGAAAAGTACAGGAATTCGGTCTTGCTAAAGCGTACCAGGAAGATTCCCTGGTAACTACGTTTGTCTATCAGACGATCAGTCTTGCTTTCATCCCACCGACGTTTGTGCGCATCGCTCGGCGGAGCTTGAAAGCGATGGCACCACTGACCTTCGGAATACCATGGCTCATCCTCTACTACAAGGGCACATGGCTGTTCGGAAACTATAACATCAGCCAGTGGAACCACCACCAGAGTACTGGAGCCCGGCCCAACAACTTGAAGGAGTTTTGCCACCGGTAAGTAAATCTTGCATTTGAACATATGACAGCTCTTATGTAAAATATTGTAAATTTTACTTACAGAAAAATCAAAAACTCCATCGGAAAAGCATATCCTGATGTGTTCACGTTCGTGGAGCTGGCCAAGCGGCACGAGGCTACGAGCAGAGCCCCACTCCTCCCGGTTTTCAACGGCGGCCAAGTACGAAAGCGGCAGGAGTGGGAGAGGAAAGACGAAACCATCAACATGCTCGAGGAACGTCATTCCAACGAGCAGCTGAACCTTGAAGAGTTTTTGAAGTTGATGCAGCAATTTTGCGGAATTCAAGTTGTGTTAATGTGTTTGAGAGAAGAATGCAGTCGCAAGTAAATGAACACGTTGCAATTCTGCAATCTTGGCAAGTGTCAAATCAACTCTCAATTGTTGCGAAAAAAAACAAAAAAACATGCGTCTAGATCAGAAATCAAAGTAGCAAAAGATATGGAAGCGAGGAAAGCACTGGGGTAACGGGGGGAATTAGTTGCGGAGATTTGGACATTCGGGAGAAACGGCACGTGGCATCCAAGACGGGGGAAGTGCCACCTGGGGAAGCGAACTACACGCGTACGATGCGACCCATCAGAACCAAATCTAACCCTTTTTCATAAATTCCACCAATCGCAACGGCCCCACTTTGCGCCTCCGACATTCAAAGAATCGAAGCAAGCACAGTGTCAGAGCTGTCACTCGCCGCATCAAAGGCGCGTCGCGCAAACTTGACGTCCGCTACCGCACATGGCGGACGGCGAATTCAAAACAAAGACACCCACCCGCCAGCCAAAACGAAATTCGCGCGCCCGAGCCCTTTGACATCGCGCAAGGTGCAGAGATGCTCTGTCACACGGTTCGCGACTACGGACACAGCAATAAAAAGTTTGCATACCTCTGATGGCGCCTCCATTTCTATTTTCAAGACAACCCAGACGAAGTTGCTTCAGTTGTTTCGTTTCTCTGAGAAGGGAAAGGAGCGAGTAGCGGGTGGCGGCGGTGGTCAGCGGTGGTGGTGGCGGAGCGGAGGAAAGAGCGGAGGGCAGCGGAGGGCGTGGAGGAGGAGAAATGGATAACAACGGCTATATATGCCCTTTGTAACGGGCGGCAGCTTGCGCCACCTAGCCTAACATTTTGTCATTTCTTTTATTTTAAACTTTGTATAAATTTTGTTTAAACACAACCCCCCCCCCCCCCCCCCCCCCTCTTTGTGAATTTTTTTAAAGAATTCACGAGACAAATGACCATGATGCAATGCTGAATCGGGCTGTTGAATGGCTATGCCCTTCGCAACGGGCGGTAGCTTGCGCAATCTAGCCTAACATTTCATCCCCTTTTAAAATTCGCAACAAAACCCTCTCCCCCTTAAAGTGCTTTTGTTGCTTATTTTTATCTGTATTTTCACTTCTCCCTAGACCTTTCCCACCAATCTTCCAATCTCCTCTTTGTTACCGCATTCGTCCATTCCCGTCTGCAAATCCTAGTCGCCCCCCTCCTTCGCATTTCGTTCGACTAATGTTTTTAATGTGAAAGCATTAACTACAATCTTTTAGGGATTGGTTGGCGTTTGCCCTTTATTTAGAAAGCATTAACTGCCTCGTGGAGCGAGCTGACGTCATCAGTTTGAAGCGCGAAAACGGCGCTTTGTTTCCCCGATCCTTCGGTTCCATTGGCTGTCGCGCGTTGACGGGGCTCCCATTGGCCGCTGCGGTCGTCAGTTTCCACGACCGCTCACCCCATGGCGCTGCGTGTCCATCAGTGCGCCGTTCTTTCCACGGCAAGGTGACCTCGGACGCTCCGTGCCCAGGAGAGCACACGCGCTGACCGGCGACATAAGTACACAGCAGACGAAAAAGGGAGCGGACGAGCGGTTTGCATGCTTTCGAATTTACAACTCATAAAAAATGCTTAGGTGTACCTCGATCTCTTTTTTTTCCCGTTGCTTCGTTGCATTCGCTTACTTGGTTTCCCCTCATGCAGAGTGCCAGTTATATTAAATGCAGGTAAACCAGTGACAACTTTATATTATTTCATTGTACTCCTATTTCTAAAATAAAAACCCAATCTTACACATTCCAAGAGAAGACAGTAGTACCTGTAAAAAAATACATAAATAAATGACCCATTGGCAACGTTGCCCGCTGGGCTAGTCTGTCGCAAAGACCTCCACTCTTTCCACCTTAGCAGAGTGAACACTGGAGGGGAGGCAAGCAGAGAAGAGGAAACCACCCACCATGACGAGCAGAACTTTGTGGGAGGGGCATGTCCTGCTTTTCTTAAACTACAACAGGCTATGGTTGCGTAAACATAACAAGAACAGAAATAGTACTTTTCGTGCGAATAGGGACGAGCCTATAGAGGTAATCTTTGCTTCTACTATGTGTATACCATCTGTTCCTACTTGCCAATTGTAAATTGCTATGACGACCATGATCTCTTGATGCAGCCTCGCTGCTGTATAAAGCACTCAATGGTGCACCAAGGAACAAAGATGAAGAAGCAGACCATGGAGAAGTCAACAGTTTGCCTGAAAACTGTGGTGCTTGCAGCAATTTGGTTACACGGTTCCTGCTGCGGCCACAGTACTAGGACAGAAGACAAGGTCTCGACTAACGCGCTGCTCTGTGTGTCGAGACAGCCTTAACTGGGAAGAAAGTTTCTGTGTGGCCAACAATGCCACACAAGAAATCAGCTGCAAGCCCGAGTCGCAAAACCCCCGAAAGATTTTGCGGTAGCCGCGCATTCTATCCCCAGGTTTGCAAATATGTCTTGGGGCCTTATCTGAAAACTTAATGTGATGCCTCTAAATTATATCAGTATGAAAGACGATAGCCACATCAGCTATTTCTTACCAATGGCAGGCTTGGTTGGCAACTTACAATTTGTGCGCAGCTTCGGGACAATTTTTACACACCCCTAAATGCGTGTTAATTTATTTATTTTGTGCCTGCTTTTAGGCTTAATTTTCTAATGTAGCACCTCACTAAGGCAACCTTAGGAAAATCCCAATCTCAAATAGTAGCTGCCAATACCTTTCCTCTGAAATGTCTCGCTGCTCCAAGGTTTATCCCATGTTGCGTCTTCCTTTTCACTTCCAGTTTCTAGGCTTGGCAATCTTTCCCAGACACGTACATTTCGAGGAAATGCATCGTGACAATGGGGTGAAAAACACCATAAAACTAAATTACCAAACAAAAGAGAGGAAAGAAACCAGCAAAAATCATATGTATGTATCAGGAAAGATGACTAGTATTTTAGAAAAACAAATGAAACATTAATATTTAGTTAAACAATTCCTGCTGTGTGAACGTAACATCTTGATAGCAAAAAACTTGATTTATTGCCTTCTTAACAGTGCAGTGTTACAAAACCATCACAGTCATACGGGGATACCAAACCTGAGGACAACTGTTCTTATCTAAGCCATGCATTCACAGTCTTTGTTCTCAAGAACCTGGGCGCTACCAAAACTTCCCGTTGGGTATTCCTCGGGATCGTTCGAGTGACTCTTTATAGGCTTTCTTGTTTGAGTACAATTTGAGCACAGCTGACTAATACATTTATGCATGACCATGATTTGAGCACTGCCCTCTTCCTCCCTCGTCTATGCTTTACACACTAAGGCACTGGTCTCTGCTGGCAACAAGGTTGAGCTACGAAAACTTCAACATCTCACGGGGAGGTGCCACAGAGACGTAGTATTGCATGAAAAACTGGGCAGGCCAATACTACTTAAGCATAGCCCAGGTAAACATGCAAGTAAAAATGCGTGAACGCATGAGAGAAACAAAAGAGCCCAGACAACTGACTTAAGTACCCTGCAGATTTGGGGGCTTTGCCTTTTTATAAATTAAAAAAAGATGACAATCTGGTGAAGTGTATGCCCTTCAAGATCGGCAGATACAAACGTACTGTCTGGCAAATACTGCAAGGCATGGAATTTTTGCTGCTTGGCAGGTACATGGCAGTGTAGCAATAATTTAAGTGATGTGAACCGTTGCACGATTTTCGTTTCTTTCATCAACACTGGTTCCCTCCTCTGGTGCAGGGAAATTTCGGCGAGCATTGTAAAACACCCCAAAGAACATTGTCCAGCAAGTGCCCCTCAGAGTATCAAAATAAAACATTGCACACGGATGCAGATAATATGAAAAATAATGGTAAATGAGACCAACATTTTGGCATGACAGAGTGCTCAAAGTAGCAGTGAAAAACACCGCCAACCTAGACACTACTCATGTCTGACATGAGACACGTAACAATGCGTACAAGCACAATCGTAAAAATATGGGATGATGCTTTGCTGATGCCGCTTCACTAAAAAGAGAAGAAAAAAAAGGGGGAAACAAGTACATGTGCAGCAAGCATCGACTAAAAATGAAGTTAAAAAAAATATATCTTCATTCGGGGGTTTCGTCGGAGTCTTCCTCTGAGGGCTCCAACTTCACCCCTGGACTGCCGCTGGGCCCAGCAAGCCTAAAAAATAGAAAAAAAAAGTGAAAGCCGTTTACAAATCCCTGTAACGCCGAATTGGAGCGCAGCTCTTGAGGAGGAGGAGTGAAGGGTACTGAGGGGAGGGTAGACCCCTCCCCCTTCTCCTCCTCCTCCCCTCATTCTTTAATATGCTCCGGGGGGGGGGGGGGGTGTCACGTGACTTCGGGGAGGGGGTCACGTGACCTCGGGGAGGCGTGACCTGGGGGTGACCTCAAGGCCACGTGACCCCAAAGGTGACCCCCACGTGACCTTGGGGTCACGTGACCTGGAGGGGTCACGTGACCTCGGGGGTTCACGTGACCTGGGGGTCACGTGACCTTGAGATGACCTTGGAAGGGGTCACGTGACCTCGGGGGTCACGTGACCTCGGGGGTCACGTGACCTCAGAGGGGTCACGTGACCTTCAAAGGGTCACGTGGGGTCATCTTGGGGTCACGTGACCTTGAGATGACCTTGGAAGGGGTCACGTGACCTCGAGGGGTCACGTGACCTTCAGGGGGTCACGTGACCTTGAGATGACCTTGGGAGGGGTCACGTGACCTTGGGATGACCTTGGTTACGCCGACGGCGCTCAAGCCGGGAACGGGCCCCTAAGAGCTGCGCTCTAAAAAAATGAAAGCCGTTTACAATTAACGTTGGATTAGAGCACAGCCCTTGACGAGGAGGATGGAAACATACTGAGGGATAGGTGACTCCTTGAGGTCACGTGACCTCAGGGGGGGTCGTGTGACGTCAGGGGGGTCACGTGACCCCTGGGGGTCGCATGACCTCAGGGGGTCGCATGACCTCAGGGGGGGGGGGGTCTTGTGACGTTGGGGTCGTCATGTGGCCTCAGGGGGTCACGTGACCTTGGAAGGGGGGGGGGGGCCACGTGACCTCGCGGTTACGTCGACGGCGACGCCGCTCAAGCCGGAAACGGGCCCCTAAGAGCTGCACTCTAAACAAAACAAGAAGTAGACAGGTGCAAAAGTCAGAGTAGCACCAACTGCACCATTTTTATAGACTCGTTTGTCTGTGCCTTGCTGCACCCAAAAGGCCCAAACTTGCTCTTCTGCAACAAAAATTAATTCTTCTCTCATCTATAGGACTCCAAAAAGCATTTGCTTGGGTCACTTTTGTCCTTTAGGACTAAAAACAAACAAACATATCAACATCAAGTTTATACGGTGTATGTGAGGTTAGCCTACAATGTGTTCTGGTGTTGTTTTACAGCTGTGGGGGGAATACAGCCAGTGCCTTGCAACGGTATAGCCATGACTTTAGTAACAAAAATCGCAAAAAAGTTCATTTTTTGAAATGGCGTTTTTAAAATTTAGTTATTTTTGTGCTCATCAGCCAAGCTGGTCGATTTTTGAATCAGCATCTGAGCCATATCATCAATTTATTATTCCCATGCCTGCTAAATTCGGGTCAAAGTTAACACTTATATGGCACATTTTGTAAACACAATTTTCTGACTTTGCAACTTTGTGGAAGGGATATCTCAGCGTTTAGGGTAGATACAGTAAACCCCCGTTAACTCGAACAGGGATATCTCGAAAGATCGGTTAAGTTGAAACTTTTGTGCGTTGCGAAATGAATCCCCATTGGCACCATGTATTTTGACATCGCTTATCTCGAAAAGTTTCCGGGACGGGCATCGAATAACTCAAAACTTCAACTGCAAAAAAAAAAAAAAATAATAAATAAATAAATTCTGAAAGGACACTGAGGCCCGAAGGAGAAAGTTTATCTCCATCGGGACGAAGCGACCGCGACCTAAAAATAACGCCAACAAAGGAAGAGAGAGAGAGAGAGAGAGAGAGGGTCTCCGGAGAAAAATAAACAAAAGAAGGAAGCGCCGAGAAAAATAAACAAAACAAGGGAGCGCCAGAGAAAAATAAACAAAAGAAGGAAGCGCCGCGAACGCGTTCTGGGAGCACAGAAAGCGACGAGCGTTCAAGGACGTTTGTTTTCTTGCTTTTTGCTTTCTCCCCATCTCCCGGGGCTTTTCTTTCTCCCTTTTTCTCTACGCTTGTGCTGGCTTGTGGCGTTCTATCGGCTCTCCCGATCTCGTGGTCGCCGTAGTCGCCACGCCGCCGAGCCGTTGTCGCGTCGCCTTCGTTCAACCCTGTCCACATGGATGAAGGCGGCGCTCTTTGAGGAATATGTGCGTGCGCTGGACCGCTGGACGCTTGTTTCTAATTCATTTTTTTTTTTTTCTCGTTTTAGTAAGTGATTTCTTGCTTAAAACGAAGCTGTGATTGGTACCATTTTCGGAACCGCTAGATTTTCAAAATTTGCGGTCGGTACTTCGGAAATTTCGGTACTCCGCTTATCTCGAAACTTCGCTTATCTCGAAATTTTTCCCGGTTTTTATGACTTCGAGTTAACGGGGGTTTACTGTAGAACTTTGGGAACATGGTCTCCGAGGAAACGACCAGCAGCCTCATCACCGATCCAGTGGATCCGCCGATATGCATACTCAGATGCCACTTCAGAGCAAAATCTGCATCCTTTGCATTGCAAGCACCCATAGTTCGATCGGTGGCCATCCCAGTTGTGTTTGTGCGAAACGGCATACGCTTGCTCGAAGCTTAAGGCTGTTTTCGAGTGATATCCTGCTAAAAGGCGTGAATTTTTTTGTTCACGCTAGGGGACGGCATTAAAAGAAATGTATTTCAGTAGGCTACAGTCTAGGAGACTATAATTCGAAACAAAATACAAGACAGCCATCGACCAAAGCTTGTTATCAAAACCATTCGACGATCCTTTAGGTTTTGTGACGTCACACAGCAGCTACGGATGTCAGCCATTGACACCGGCGAAATTCGGGATGACGTTCCCAAGTGCACATGCACATGCCTAAGACGTTCCCAAGTGCACATGCACATGCCGAAGCAATTATGACCTCCCACTGGTACAGCATAAGGGAAACTGCACGAAACTGCTAGAATATATGTTTGTGTGGCGACAGAGCTACTCCAGAATGTAAATTTTTCTGATCCAAAAGTTTTTCAAAATAAAATTTGCTCCATACCTTGAACTGGCTAGACCACCTTCGCGTGCATTTATTTTTCTAATAAAAAAAAGAATAAAGAATGCTAGAAAATTTTTTTGTTAAATATAACCTTTTGCATATGTGTACTTGATTTGCAGGGCTGCAGAAGACATAGGTACAAATTACTGCAAATCAGTAATTTATGTGCACCTAAGGCATGAATCGAAGTATAAGTTTTATTTCTTGGCAACTGTGGTTGGGCACAATTTCTAGTAATTTGTAACCACCAAGTTACTTTTCTACTGGTGCTTTTCTGGCAACTCCAGCAAAATAAGAACAGGCTTGTTATTGCTTCGAATAGCTGTAAATGGCATAACCATAGTAAAGGACACACTGGCCCAAATATTTAGTAATGGGGAAGTTTATAATCCTAAGTAAGGCAGAGAGCAACAATTCAAGCGCATGAGATGTCCAAGTGCCACCCAGTGTTTATGGTGGTACCTGTCTGCTTCTTCCATAGTGCTCAAACTGAAATCGCTCCCATCTAAAACTATTCTTTGTTTCACCTGACGTGCGAGCAAAGGAGAAGCTACGAGAGTGAGCGCAATACTTTAAGCGGACCTGCCATGCTTGTGAGCTCGTGAAGTGAAAGTATGGTTTAAGACAACAAGCAAGAGCTTGTAGCTTCGGCTTCAATGCCACCTAAGATGAAACGGAGTTTAGCAACTGATGCTTCAAAAAGCAAATGACTGACCATCTGCCGTCAACATGCTGCGTGCTGTAGAACTCCAACGCATCTCTGATGGGCCTCAGTGCGTCGAAAATGGCCCGCGAGGAGCACTGGAAAACAGGAAAAAACAGACATGTAAGCACGAGCACAGTCAAGCTACAGCGAATGACGTGACAAATACGTCAGAGAGGGGCTCTCAGGCACCCTGCCACTAACATGACCTCACTACATTTTTGCAATGTTGTGTCTGTGCATAGAAGGGCCTGTACAAAACAAATCTGCCTTTTCCTTTTTTTTATTGCAAAACAAACTATGCATTGCCGCTCACTAAATCTCGGACCATATGTAGCGTTAGTGGCCAACCCCAGTACAGTTCGAGTTTCGCAATGCTGACATTAGTGTCGCCACTGACAGCAGTGCTTCGGGGGCCGGGGGCTCTCACTAGTTTAAAAAAATATAAAACTTTTTTTGCTAACTACGATTTCGACACAACGGCTTCAATGTGTCATGAAAACAAAATGTAATTTATTTGATATATTAGTCTTTGTTTGTTTCCCTTTTGGTCTGAAACCAAAAACCGACCGGGCACCATTTTCGATGGGAAAATGGCGGAGGTGCAGCCCACGAATACACTGAGGTGAATGGCGTTGGCTACTGGGAATGGGCTTTATTTTTAAGAAAATCGCTCGTTACTTTTGAATAAAACAACGGCCAGTTCTGAAACTTGGCTTTTGGTCTGGACGGCTAGTGCTACGTTTGGTCGGGGGCCGAGTGCTCGGAAATGCAGTTTATTTTTGCGGTAGCCTTTTTTCAGTGACCCTCAGTACAATGCTCCTCAAAGCTCGTATGACGCCGCACATAGGGGGGGCACCAAAAAAGGGCACTAGACCCGTGCTGGCAGACATGGTGCCCGAAGGCCCTTCCCCCGAGTCTTCGGGGTCTCCTTGTTGGTGTATTACGCACCTGGAGTTGAAAGATGCCTTGTTGGTCGTTTTCCGTATCGCTCGGTGAGAGTTTCTTTGTTTTGGGGGGGACTTCGATCCCTGTACTCTTGCCGTTAGGCTTGCCTGCGGAAAAGTGCCACAGGCGTGAGTGGCACCAATGCCGTAAGTACACTTAACACTAACCTATCGAGCGTTCATTTAATAGTTCTTGTCCGATGTGTTTGAAGTTGTGATACGATCTAATGCACACCGAAAATAAAAATTTCACAAACCAACACACAATAAAAAAAAAAGAAATCCCAGCCCATTTAGTTGCTTTCCAGGAATTTTCTTACGGTAGGTTTCCCTTCTGCAAATGTTGTAGGGGGTGCATTCATAGTTTTTATTTATTTTGAACATACTCAAGCCTTGAGGCTAAAGCATGTTAAAAGTAAAAGCACACTCAAGTATTCAAAGTATTATGAAGAAAAGCAGGCACATTTGCACCGTTTACAACATTCGTCCATACATTTAACGAAGGAAAAGTTCCTAAAAGAGGCAGTGTTAAATCGACACGGCACAATTACCTTATTTATTTGAATATAAGGCGAGGTTTTTTTCCAAAATCCTTAGTCTCAAGGTAATAAATACCCTGCCTTATATTCGAAGCTCGGTATAGCAATATGACGATTTTTTACTTTTTCTTGGGTCCTTCAACTGCCCCCTCGCCTTATAATCGTGACCGCCTTATATTCGAATAAATACGGTAACTTGTTATAGTAGCGTTATCACAGTTTGCGTATGGAACATATTTGTGAATATTGCTGCGTGCATGATTGAGAAGGTAGCAAATCAGTTCATCTAGAACTGGTTCTCAAAAAGGGGTCCGCGGTCTGCTTGGGGTCTGCGAAGGCATTCTAGGGGTTTGCAAAGCCCTGCCTCATCAGTCATGTCCGCCAATAAAAGAAACATTCAAATTTTCGGGTGAGTTTTCTCGTGTGTATGTGTGTGTCAATAAGACAAGTCTACTTCAGACTAGCCCCTAATTATATCCCTTTATTAAATTATTATCATAATTAACCTATACCTTTTCCTTCCCCTTACCACGAACAGGGTCCTCCCTCATTTCTGCCGATCCAGAAGGGTGTCAAGCATCAATGGTTGAGAACCACTGATCTAGAAGATTTGTGAATCAGCGGAGGTGATGGAGGACCCTGCCTGTGCTGAGGGGAAGGGAAAGGTATAGGTTAATTATGATAATGATTTAATAAATGGAAATCTAAGGGGTAGGTAAAGTATACTTCTTCCATTGAAATACACACGAGAAAACCCCCATGAAAATTGGAACATTTGTTCTCAATCTAAAGAAAAGACAACCATTATTGTCGGGCTTGATTGATGAGGCAGAGCTTTCCGGACCACTAGAATGCCTTCACAGACCTTTTGGGGTCCGCGGACCAGGAATGCCAACCCGCGGGAAATTTCCCAGATTAAGGGGGGACACTACCCAGAAAAACAATTTCTGCAAAAAAAGTTGATTTTGACAAATGTAATATTTACATCCACCAACATCCAGGGAGTATTCCCAGAAAGTTTCAGTAATTTACACTGTATAATTAACTTTTCATAAATTTTTTTTGGTCTACCAATGCTAAAGAAAAGGTAGAGGTTGGAGCACTTCGAATGCATTTTTCTCCATTCCAGTTTTTGGCAGAAATTTCACTTTAGGAAAACTATTGTTTTGTTATTACGTAACTTGGATTCACTTTTAGAAGTTTTTCTGGGGTGAAATTTTAAGGGGAAGATAACTATGAGCTTGTATTTTTTTATTTTTGTAATTTTTCATGCTCAAGAGCTAAACTTTTTGGACAAAGAATGGAAATATAAAAAACAGTATTTGTGTTTCTGTGGCTTTTCTGTCATGAAAGATGGTATAATATAGAAATATAGCTCCATAGTTATCAGCTCTGAGCTGTCCTAAAGCAATATAACACATGAAAATGACAAATTTATAAGTAATTTCAGAACGATAGTTTTCCTACACAGACACGCCCACTTTCATCTTTGAACATTTGCAATTTTTTTTGTACATCACCCAGGTTAACAAAATTTGGCAGAAATGTTCTCAACGTTAACAGAAACAAGCCCTGTAAATCTAATTTAAATCAAACAAGCGGTTTAAACATCCATTTTTTTGGGTAGTGTCCCCCCTTAAGGTAATATACAGGTTTGTTTGGGAATAAGGGAAATCTTTGGGTACTGTATATACATATCTGGAAATTTATAGGTTAACTACGACTTTTTTTCGAGATAACATGGAATTTAAGTGGCTTTTGCTACATCTAGGTTATTCCCTCGATCTGTTTGGCGATTTGTTGTGCGACCATCTGGCAATACTGAGGAGCACTCAAACAATGTTTTTTGGCTAAAATAAGTTTTCATCGCCCTCGTGAAAACTATGGAGGCAGGGACCAGCCAACTCTAAGCATCTGAGAGTGCTGCTGCGCCTTCTCGAAAAAGAAAGCTTGAGTACACAAAGAAATACTGCGATGACTGGAGATACACACTTACCATATCCAAGATACAGAGTTACTATGACCAATAATATTTCGTTAAATGCCGTGCACGAAACGGTGCTTACTGTGTGTCGTATTCCGTGTGTTCGAGTTCAAGAACTCTAGTTTGTGCTACACCTTTTGTTTTAGACTGACTATTATGAAAAGTGCTAAAGAAGTTATTAAAGCAGTACCATGTTCTGACGACATCTATAACATCTAAATCGAAGGTAGGGTCCCATTTGTCAGTTTGAATCTCCCGGTGACACTTCCCCTTTCCAGATTTGGTTTGACCACACTTTTACCCGATAAACTCATTTTTGCAGATCGTATAGCGCAAGGTGTAAAGCCTACATAATACATCTCTTATGGTAAAAACAGAAGTAATGCAGAAAATGAATATTTATTAGTATATAATTATTTGGGCAAGCAAGGAAAATTTAGGCAGAAATAGGAAAATTTCAGGCGTCCACTATCATAAAATCCCGAAAAGCCCAACCCTACTTTTGGCTTGATTTGCTATATTGTTTTTAAACACCGAAAGATAGCCCGCTTGTAGCAGGGGTAGTGTTGGGATCAATGATGGCCTCGGCATAAATGTGGCTAGTTTGCTATGGCGGGATATAAGCGAACGTTGCTGACAGGGAAGTACAGTCACCTTAGCTTCGTTGCCCCTCGCCACGATAACAAGCTTGGAAGAGACACCAGACCTAAAAATAGCACTTCTTCAACTTTTGTTGATTGTAGACCAAAAGTTAGTCCACTCTATATTTTCACCCGATTTGCTCCGGATTTTAGGTGGGCTATCTCTCGGTATATCACGGTAGGGAGATTCTGACTCTCTGTGTTGGCAGCCCTGCCACGGACCCCATTTGAGAACCACTGTTCTAGGTGAACGGAGAAGCTATCTTCTCAATCATGCACGTGGCAATATCAGTAAAGTAATGACCACCTGACATGTCTCTTTTTCTGTCGTGCCTAATAAATGCACTCCCAATTTCGAGTCAGCAAGCGGAACTCCACACTCCGTTCTCTGGTTCATGCACCCATGTGTTTTCTCTCCCGGAATCCTCACTTATTTCGAAGGCATGCTATCTCATCTCTAACGTCGTTTTGCATCCCGGTGAACTAATAACAACATCAGCCCTGGGAAATGGAGGAAAGGGTGAAACCAACTGCAGACAGCTGCGTGACGGATGTGGATCTGCGGAGGTCGCGGAAAGAAGTAAAAGTTTCCCAAATTTCTGGTTCCGCTGTTCTGCAAGGACATTAACATAATTTTCCTCGACTGGTTCGATGATGCAGCTTCCCAACAACCCGCTATGTGAGTTACGTGTGTCTGGCTTAAGTTTGAAGTTGTTGAGTTTGCCACTCAACTCCACAACCGCACAGCCGAAAAACATTTCAGTGCCAAGGGAGTGCGCACACTGTTATGGTATACAACAAAGAATGTGTTTTGACTTTCGAGGACTGAAAACTGAAAAGTTGTGCTGCGTTGCATGAGTTGACACACAATCGCGCGCGGGCCACCATGGCCAGTAACACGAGTGAGCGTTATGATCCAGATTAAACTCAAAGAAGCAAAATCAGTTGCTGGAATAAAGATAAAGTGCCGATTATCGTAAGGTGAGTCTTCAGATGCGAGGTTTCGATTGCCAATTTATTTCCTATCCGATTTGCCCATTCATAAATATCCGCTCAAAATATTACCTCGTGTAATAAACATATCCACCCAAAATTGCATAAGTTTTTCAGGGACAAAAATAAAAAAAATAAATAAGGGCACAATTATAATGTGAATACATAAGATCGAATCAGCAGGGCAGTATGAGCTGGCCCAGTTTAAGGCTACCTGAAAGGGGTAAAACGCCACATGGGGTGCCTCTGGCATGCTAAACTATAAAACCGACTGCCACACTGCGACAACTGTAAATGTGGCAGCCTATGCAATCCCTTTTTTTTAACAGTTTAAGACAGGCTGTCGAGCCTAACCGGAACCGAGCAGTAAATGGAACTGGACCCTTATTTTTCATTGAACCGGAGCTGAACAATATTTTTTGTGTCATCTTCGAACTGAACCTGACACGGAGCAAATAGAAATATCGTTTCGAACCGGTACACAATGGGATGGTTCAGAATCACAATTTTGTCATTTTGGTCCAGCTTTCTTACCAGCCTGTAACTTTCCTTCTGACGCCTGGTTTACATTGTCTAACACCAATTTTGGCAATGACATGCACGGGAATATGCCGTCAGGCAAGTTGTCACAAAATTGCCGAAATACCGACGCAAAGGTGCAGCAAGATTACATCGTCCCAGCAGAAATTGGAATAAAATCCCAGAGAACTCAGAGCCACAACAATGCCAAACAAAATGACTGAAAAAATTGTGCACCTGGATCATAGCCTTGCAAGCGCCCACTAAAAAGTACAAACAAAAACTTGTAGCAGGTGGCTTTCACTTTCCCCCGCTTCCCCTACTCGGCCCGAAGAACCATGCGGCAAATATACTGGACATTCCTGGAAACGCGTCTGTGGTCGACTTGCAACAGTTTATGAGACACACTGCACATGCTGGCCCTGGCCAACATGCGCAGAGGCTACAATGTACGCAGCACTTGTTTTGTACCGGGAGTACTGTCTTGATCAGACGTCGGCAGCAGCGTCGCCTCTTCGGACAATGCATCGGGACGGGCCATTCTACGCTTAGAAACAACAGACGACGATCAGCTCCAGGTGAATACTGTAAACAACTTAAATTTCGCAGGCTCGCATTTTCGCGAATCGGGCCAAATCTGAAAATTTTGAATGATTCGCGGGCTGTTTTTCTGCGCATCGAGGTGGTATGCTATGTATTTGCTACCATAGGGAAACATTCATCGAACCTATTTCTTTGCAAATCGTAGGCGATATGCAAAATTTGAGCGAATTAGATCCCTGCAAAAATTAAGTCGTTTACAGTATATTCAAGGGCTTTGTAAACTCGCTTTTGAAGTTAGTCTCAAAGACACTCGCTATATCATTATGTTGTATTCGGTTTTGCATTCTTTGTTTACTCTCCCTCTCTCATTTGAGACACTCATTTGTATTGTAACAAAATGTGCACATTCAGAACTACTTCTGAATGTGCACGTTCTACTTGTTCTGCACCTTATATTCTGCCTGGTAGCACGTTGTAAAGGTAGTTTTGTTGTTGAATTTGGGAGTATTACCGGGCAAAAGCTGGGCATGAAAGGACCAACCCCCTTGTTGCTCACTGGCGCTCGGCAGAGGATATGTTCTTCCGAAGAATATTGCATGTTATTACAAAAGTGCTATTATTTACCCTTCTGCTGTGGGTTGAAATTTGCATCGTGCTCAGTTTATAATGTTCAAAAACCTTTATAAGGTCCTTGGAAGGTACCACACTCGTCATGAATTCGCCTTTAGAGTCTACATGTCATCCGATTTAAGATAATTAAATTTTTCTCAAACAGACGAGCTTCAACTTAACTACTTTTCCTATTACATATATGGAAGCTGCCAGCTGCACTCGTAGAAAATAGATAAACTGCATGAAAGTTTGCTCATGACGTTCCTCAGTAAATAAATTTACTGAGTAACGTGATGCAAATGTTAGTCGTCTCCCCCACTGCGAAGTACTAATTTCTTGGATATTATGAGGTTGCGCTAGAACATTGGTATCCGATTGCCCCTTCGCTACCTTTATACAGGATTTGTATAAACCTGTATGAACTGGTTCAAGCCCAGCTGAAAATCCCCATTAGGTTCAGACTAGAATTTCCCCATCGGTACCAATTGGTACCCATTAGGTTTTTGGACATCCAATTGGTCACTGGCCAGTGAATAGAAAGAAACCACTTGGAACCTTTGAGGTTCCAAGTGGAAAAAATAATTCCACTTGGTGAGACAAGTTGGCCAGTGAGCTTCCTGTTGGAGCCTACTAAAACCAATTGGTTCCGATTGGATCTAACAGAAATTTTCAGCTAAGAACAGTTTTTTTTTTTTTTGCTCTCGAGCTAAACTTGAATTGAACCACAAAGTATGCGTGCGATTCAACCCGAACCCGAATTGAACCCCGAAATCTTTTCGGTTCGACACCCCGGATGCCCAGTGCTTCCAGCACGGCTTTCGTGCTGCCTCAGCCTAAACGGCACCAGGCCAGCCCGCATTGCCACACGCGCTCGTGGCGTTGCTCGCTTTTGGCCAATTGTTCCTCGCCCGATCCTCGTGCTTACGTTTTTTCTGTCCCTTCGCCTGGTCGGTGGAGGAGGTGGGGGGGAGGCGGCTCTTATCCTCGTTGCGCCGATCCCTGCCTGGGCAGCGGCAGATCTTGACATCCATCGACAACCTTCCCAGGACGCAGTTCCTGCCAGGGAAGCCAAGCCAAAGGGCCACTGAATTTCCTCGAAACGCCCCAGTTTCGTTTCAGAACTGCGGCACTGTGCCACAATCGACGGCTTCGAAATGAAGGTCGGGAAACTTGTGAGCGCAAAAAGGGATGGACATAAAGAAGGGTACACGAACGAGCAATCGTCCGTGTCCCTTTCTTCATGTCCGTCTCTGTTTGTGCTTGCAAATTTCGTGAGGATCATGCACTAACTAGCGCCATAAATCTCAATAAAATGGAGGTCGTCTGCAGTGGAATAGGGGGAAGGCAGAGCAAGTAACAAGCCAGCAGTCTGCTTTTATGGTAGCTTACGAGCTGTTTGATACACAAACCTTAGTCAAAATCAACAAGTCAATCGCTTTCCATATTATACCTGCCGTTCGGAGCTCCCTTACCAAAGATTTGCGCATTCATTTTTACGATTAGAAGGATAGATTTTCCAGTTCCAGCAGATATATTATGGCAAGTGGTACTTTTGGGAATATTTAGGGACTAGAGAATACAAGCGAAGCCGGCGTAAAAGGCGCAGGCTGCACTTTTTAGGCTATTTTGCTCATGTATAGAGTGTTAGATCATGTGAGTTTGTGCATTCTGTTTTTGATGCTATTGCTGTCAGACATAGCCCCTCCCATTATGGTAAATATATAGAGTGATTTGGAGCACTCGCCCACCGATCGCGACATTGCAGGAGCAGCGAGCATATGCTTGAAATGTTAGGGTTTGCTTTTCTTGTTTAAGGAGCCGACTGCGCACCAGGAAGGTAAGGCAGGTGGTGCAGCCTTCTCTGTGTACGACGGTGTGTGGCAGAAACCAAAGGGCTCAAATCCCACTGGTCGCGTGAATGGAAAAGATACTGCTACCCACCCATGCTCCAAGGTGAAGATGATCTTGATGGGGCGTCGGTTCATGCCCTCTCCGTGGCTACACGAGCTGAGGCACATGAACCTGTAGTGGTATACCCTGTAGCCCATGCCAGCTGCAGAACAAAGGCAGAGGAATAGAATAAGGTTGCCAGCGTGCACCTTCTCCAAACATTAAACCAATGTTGTGTCACAGAGCAAGACCCATCTCGAAGGGCCTTCAGATACCCCGAGTGACAGCCAAGGCCCCAACAAATACAGTTAAAGGTAGACTAAAGATGTTTCTGTGATCGTCTGTTCTTGGTCATGACTTATCTTACAGGCTCCAAGCATCCTAGAAATCCAAAAATTATGCTAGTGCGACGTCTATTTCCCTACTAAAAATGTGATAGAAGTTCGTGCCATGCCCCTTTCTGAGCGGAAAAATCTGAAGCACAGAATTCAGCGGAGGCGCCGGCGGCGTGACGACAGGGGCGCGTCAACCAACTGCAAGCTGCCTCTCGCTCGAGCCTAATTTTTCGATTTCTGGGATGCTAAGACCTCGTAGAATGAGTTATCACAAAGAACAGACAATCTCAGAAGCATCTTTAGTCACCTTTAAGAATCACTCTTCAGAGGCTCTAGAGAGAATCCGAATTACCAACAACTTTTGCAAACACAATATTTCACTATAATGCTTTGTATAGAACAAAAAGGTTCCAGCAATTCAATTTTGGGATCAGGCCTGCCCCGCCCCGCCCCATGGGGACACAGATGAATACACCGGTGCAATATATCCAAACCTAAGCGAATTTTATCGTCTGCTTCTTGTGCAGGTGTTGAGGTGACATCAGAACAAAGCTGAGTTCTGATTGGCTTTGATTGGAAGGATGGCCGGTACACATCAATGCTAGATGTATTGAGGTCCACCCACTATTTTCGTCAATCAGCCAATCAGAGCTCAGCTTTCTGACATCATCGCAACCCCTGCGCAGCAAGCGGACAAACTTGCACTCCACACGGTACTTCCTGCTCAAAATGAAGCATTGGTGGAATGTGTTGGCGAGGTGAACCGAAGCAGGACAAATGCCTTTGCCGAGCCAAGACCTACCTTCGGGGTTGTTGTACTCAATAACGACGCTATGTCGGCCCGTGGTGGGGTCCTCCTTGTACGCCGCACACGGGCTCTCGCAACGGATCACGTGGACCGCTGGTATGATTGACTCTGTTAATGGGTAAGAGGCAACGGTGAATTGCGCACGTGATTACAGCTACGTCAACACTAAGCTACAGGGCTCAGGCAGCGGCCATGACTGTTCAGAGTGGGTGTTCTCAAATGTTACGACCTCAAGGAACTGCCATCTCCCCAAATAGCTAGTCAAGGAATCCCTCACTGCCCCGGCGTTGATGCAGCAAAGTGGCAAACAAGCTTATGAGCCACGTAAATGGTAACGTGCATAGCAGGGAATGTTTGACTCAAGTTACGCATCAATGAGCAGCTCAAATCTGCTGAAATATTTCTTAAACTGAAAAAAAAAAAGAAACAGCTTATTTAGGTGCAGGGACAGCAGAGAAAATTTAGTAGCTCGATGAACCCGTGAGCGCACTCTGGAAAACCCCTGTCTTCCTAGGAACCCAGTTTAAGAATCCATGATTCAGAGCAATGCCCAGATATTTCTTTAGACAGGGCACAAAAACAAAACATACAAACGACTGCACCTTCTTCGAATACAGCCCGACTTCATGATTCCTTTCGTGATCCCGTTTTTATTTTTGTTATTGCCACTTGCCTATGCAAGTGGCAACTGCTTGCATCATCAATCTATCTCGTTTCGTGCCACTAAAGTCGATGACAGATTGGCTGGCGAAGTGATATGAATCTCCAAAGGGATTTGTATCACTTTGCTATAGCCAATTGCTTTCACTTGTTTTCTTGACACCTTTACAAACTTTTACCAGGGTAGCGGTGCATGTTTTTGCGGCGATGACAGCACTGACTTCTCCGCAGTGATTCTACTGCTCTTTACCTACTTGGGCTAATGCCGCAAGGTCGTGGCGCTGTCCACCTTTATTTGCGGTATGATGACAGATCGTGCAATGACACGGGAGTCCAGCAGTTTTAGCACCACTGAAGTGTTCAATTTGTGCGCTTAATTGCACCACCAGTTAGAATCAGTTGCCGCTGAAATGCTTGGCCATCAGCATCCCTTCATACATTTTCTGTAAGCACCTGCCTCAGGCTAATTCACAAAGTCCTGCCGGTATCAGCTTTGCTTCGTGGTAATTTCTGTGGGGCGACGTGAAAAAGCAGCGGGCGTCATGGTTAAATCGGTATTGCTCCATCAGACTCAGTCTGTATCTGCGTTTCAGGTATGGCCTCAAAGTTTAAAAAGGAATACCAATGACCAGTTGGCAGCAAGCACTTGTTTTCAAAAAGTTAAAGATGGTAAAGAAACCAAATTCAGTTTACGAATACATGCATATGAGTGTCATAAAAGGAACAGAATGAGACCCAGATGACAGTAATATTTTTATCCGGTAGGTTTCTGAGTAGCATCCAATGACATATTAAAGGAGATGGATTGCAAATGGGCTACCAAATTTAGTACAGTATACAACGCTGGCACAAGACAGCCCCCACCTGACGACGCACTCACTCGAGTTGGTTGCGTTATAAGGATCCATGTGGATGAGGCACCGCTTGACTACGCTGCGGACATCGTTGGGGTTAGCGTAGACCGCCATGACACGCAGAGTGGTGCCCAGAGGAGGGACCTTGTCCACGTGCACGTGGAAGGGGCAGACCACATTCATGTTTACGAACAGCTTGCGATGATGCTCGTCGTACTGCGACCAAGGAGAAATCTGAAAGTTAGCCTTTCGAGCTTGTAATTAAGCTAGAGTGCGAGAAGTTTACTGGTACCCCAGTCACTAAAACCAGTAGGCGCACGGAGACAAGGCAAAGCTTTAAGATTCATAGAGAATTATGAGGACAAATAGACAGAATAGTTGACTTAGGGGTGGTTCAACCAGTTTTGAGTATGAAGCAAATTTTAGAGCAGAAAACAATCTTGCTTTGGAGCAAAAAAAAATCATGTTTTGAAGCAGCTTTGGAGCAGCACATTCATAAGTTTGGAGAAATTCGGTGCAGCTGCCTGTTAGTGATGCCAGCATGCATTTATGTAATCAGCTGCGGGATAACCATTAAGAACCCAAAGTTAGCAGTTATACTGTACTACAGTAGAATCTCAATGATACAAATCTCGAGGGATTGCAAAACAATATTCGCATCATCCGAAATTCGCATGAACAAAAAAACAAGTCATATAGGTACAGGAAAGCAAATGGAGGACTACTTGCAATAGTAACATTCTTCTGAGTCTTCTTTTCTTCAATGTCATCCAGGGGACACATTTGGAACGTGTAAAAACGTGCGCACGTGTCGTCGCTGACGTTGATTGAGCTCCCAATGCGCCGCAGCACGTTGAGGGACATCCTTCCGAAAGTTGGCTGAAGAAAATCGCGCGGGGTTCAACGGACGTGCAGGCGCGTGTGCCAACAAAGGATGCTTGCTCGTTGACGATCACATGATCAACGCTGATTCCAAATGTCATTTCTCATGTTCACCCGAGTGATTGAGAGTTACTAAAACCCGTTTATCATGTGACAACACAGATAGTGCAGCAATGCTGGATGTGGGCATGTTTTCGAATCTTGGAATGCAGCCACGGTTAATGTAACTGCACGACGCGTATGCAGAAGGAATGACGAAAAAAATGACACAAAAACGCCTGCTATAGTTGTCGGAGCCAAGTGATGCCACCCCAAAGGATGTGTAAACGTTGTCGATCATTGTTCATACGATCCACCGCGGCCCGAGAAAGCATTCGGACTATACTGAAACGTAATACATTAGTCCCAAAGGACTTTGGCCGAAGCTTTTGAAAAATTCATATCACCTCGAAATTTGGATGAACCGTGATCGTATCATCGAGATTCTACTGTAGTCGAATTGCCCTTCAACTGCTGTGAAGCTGTTCCATAAACTTAGTCAAATTCGTGTTTTGTTTACGTTAGGGCTAGTGGAGAAATGTAGCAGGAGTCATATTGTAGCGCCAAAGCGCGAGACTTACGGCGGTGGCGCCAACGTCGGCCACACATGTTTTCATGCGTCGAGTCGCAGTCAGGAAACCTCTGCAACAATCTTACGATGGCTCTTTCAAGGTCCTTGAAAGGCACGACAAGTATTTCGTTCTGGATTTGAACGGGCGGCATGACACTATCTGCGTCGACCGCCTAAAGCCTGCTCACATTGAACTATCGTCCGAATCCAGCCCACACCCTCTACATTGACCGCCTTCGTGCCAGCCATCGGCGCCATCCTTACTAGCCACCGAGCATCAGCATCATCGCTCCGTCTCTTGGGCACAACATCGCCCTAGCGACTCCTCTAGGGGGGGAGCCCTTGTAGTGCCAAAGCGCGAGACGTACGGCGGTGGCGCCAAAGCGCGAGGCTTAGAGCGGTGACTCACGCAACATCAGCAGCTAATGACGTTTCAAAGCGCGCGGCACGAGCTGTTTTGGTCGACGTCTTTCCTGACCCCCACAATATAAGTGTGCTATCACCACAGTCGACATAGAATACCATTTTAATAATTTCAAGATAACAAAGAGTGGTAAATTGGTACTATACAAAGTCTTCTCAGGTGACACGAAAATCAGCATTGTCTGGACCTCATACCCCTCATACCTTTGTCACAAACATTTTATTTACGATTACACTTCCTGACAATTTCTCACTGTGGAAACATTTAATGTCTGATTTACTTTACTTTTCATCGGTTGTGATCGCGATCAAGTTGCCCAAAAATCAAGTTAGTAGAAAAAACCTTCATTAATAAAATTATTCTGGGTTCCCTAATGAACAGACATTTTAACGAGTAGTATGATCAAGTATTCACATCATTTGACATGAGAAAAGGCAACAATTTGTAACCAAGCAGTTCCAACTGTGCATGCTAACAAAATGGGAACCCGCTGCGAGCATATTTCTATAAAACAGTGTCATGCTTCTGAACATAAACATGCAAAAAAAAGATAATCACTTGCGCTTGTTAATCTTCAGTAGTGCGCTTCGAAATCCAATCAAGACTGTTAGAACTGTGCTGCGTTTTGAAGGTCGGTTAAAAGTGATGTGCAACAATGCCGCAAAGCCGGAAACCTGGATTGGATTGTGATGGCCAAACCTGACTGGATTCCCCCAGTTGATAGACGAAAACGAAAACTCTTCCAAAAATCAATTCGTTCGCAGATTCAATCGCTTTGGCACAGTTTGGCACAAGTTTTCCCTTTTGGGTGCAGCAAGGCTCAAACAAACAAGAATTGATCAAAATGGTGCAAATAGCGCAACTGGACCACCCCTGCTGACTCCAACCATTTCACACATATATAATACCTTGGTACAGAAATGCATCATGAGGCAAAGGTTTGCCTGCTCCTTGCACAGAGGGTGCTCAGGCATCAGGGCACCGAGCCGCTGAGCTCCGGTGTCGTCTGTGCGTTGCAGCAACGGGCATGTTCTTTTTGTCGAGTAACGACTATCACAAGAGCTGCAATGAATGAAGAACTCAAGGCCAAGATGTTTTTGCTATCCATCGAAACGAATAGAGTCTGCTGGGGCACAGTCATTTGTAGCAATTACTCCCTCTCACTCACGCACCCTTCTTTCATGTGCGGAGCAACTCCCGACTGTTTTGGTCGACTTGCTTGCTCTATAGAAGGGGTTCTGAAACTGGGTTTCGCAAGCTGGTTTTGTGGGTTCTGAGAGCACCCAAATTGCAGTTCCCCCTCCCTAGTTTAGGCTTCCATGGACTGTGTCATGGATGAGATGGTGTGGCAGGCAAAGCAACCTCCCCCTTTGCCCTAACAAGTATATATATTTTACACAGTGCCCCAGATTAACCTCTCTGCCTTGTTAATCTTTCTATAGTCCTCCCATTTTGCCTTATACCATCAGGTTCACTATCCAAATGCCTTTATTGCCTAGTATTATCGATTGGCAACAAGGAGACGAGTTCAATGGGAATTTTTGAGACCTGTTGGGGTTTCCTGGGACGAAAAAAATTGAGAACCCCTGCTGTGTAGAAACGGGCTCTAGCCTGACGATATTGTTGCAGATGTAGTTGCGACTAACTCAAATTTAGCAAACGGTTGTGCACAGAAGACAATTAAATTCCAATTACATTCAGTAAGAATAATGAATTAAAATGTATTACTCGCAAAGTAACAAAGTTGCATTAATTCAATTACAAAATGGGATGTTCATTTCATAAGCTTGTATCAAATTGCAGGAAAACATAAGGCTAAAAACACTAATTTTGTTCTGGTCCAACTGAATACAATATAAAGTTGAAACACAGAGCAAACTGCTGATCAGTGATCCTATATCAAACAAAACATAGGTAAATACATGTGGAAACAAGAAAACAAAGCATGAAATTTTGTTTTTTACGATTTACCGCCAGAGGAACCACCAATATGACCTAAGGCTACTTTCTCACCGTGTAGTTGGCACTCTTTGCCAGCTTCTCTTGGCGAGCACAATTGACGTAGAAGCCATAATCCCCACGAAACTCCTTGCTGCAAGGGCAATGTCAGTGTGTTAAGAATTCCAAGAAGCAACACAAATGCCTTTCTCCACTAATTCTTTTTCATCGCTAATTCTTTTCATCAACGAGAAAAGAAAGTTGGCTTCTACAATGTGCACGCTACTGCTTCAAACCCACTTTAGACGATGCGCAAAAAAGTCACGCGCTGCAATTTATTAGAAAGGTGCGGCTAGGTGGTGGAGGCTTTGGGTGAAAACAACAACGAATGAACTTACCGGTACCTCGTTCTTAAAAGAAAAACGTGCTCCGGGCTATCTGTGGTGGTAGTCGCACGTGATGTCATGATCGTGTTCCCCTATACCAATATTCACCTCATGGGTCGACACTTAATCGACGCCTGATCGGGACGTCCCCACAAGCTCAAGAACTGTCGTAAAAAAAAGTCCGGTTCCTTGCGGAATGCTACTGATTTCCCCCATTATGTGTTGAACTAAGATGTGTCTAGGTACATCTTAGATTAGCTTTGCGTCATTTTATCGAGACCTACATGTTTCAGATGCCAAAAGCATTGTTTCTTCCTTCGACAACCAAATCTTGTAAGATCTACTTTGCGCGGCACATGAATAATGTGCAAAAATTGCTTTTTTCTTGATGTGAAAGTGAGTACAGTTGCATGTGCCGCTGACAGATGGCGCAACGTCAGACATGAGAGTATGCACCAACTCAACCAATGATCTCCGTACCAAATACAGGGAGCCATGAGAAATTTAAATTTGTTTTCTTATTGTTATCTTTAAATGAACACGTTATCATACTTGCAGAGTTTTACATTAAAGGGAGGCGTGCCAGCACATTGAAAAGTTTCCAGGATTGTCTGCTAAGCTTTGCGCCGGCGTGCCCTCAATGCTTCCGGCATTTGTTAGCGGCAGATATAACTTAAAGGGGTTACGACACGCCAAAAATAAAATATGAAATAATAATACTGCTAGGACCCCATTGTATGTTCCTATAATCCTGCTAGATTTGTTTTAAAAATGGCGCGATAGTTTCGTGGATAAATTGATTTATATACGTGTCCCTAGGAGGGGCAGATCCGGGCGGAGTAGGAGGCTGGCTACGTAGCGAAAAGGCTGGTTATGTAGCCAGCCTCCTGCGCGGTGTCCCCTTGCATGCACTCACAAACTTGGCTCTCTTGGCATCTCGAGCTTCAGCTTCCTCGTTTAACTTCTGCGTTTCGAACATGCAGTTCGTGACAATTACATCTATGGCATTGCTCGCCTTGTCGAAGTGTTCAACACTGATCGCAGTAGCGATGAGAGTGATTGCTATCAAAAGATGTTGGAAGCTGTTCATTTTGACTGCGACCCGCTGGCAACCAGCTCCAACGATGGCGAGTTACAGACAAACTTGCCGTGGTCACTGTCGTCTGGGAATATCTCACAGGCGCATGCAGGGTGGAAGGTCAACGGGCCGGGGGCGAGAGCAAAATATTGTTCGGGTCGCCGATTTGCGTGAGCGGTTTTGATTGTGCCACAGCGAGGAGAGCTTGGGCGATCATGGGGGTGCCTAGAATGAGAGACTTTTCATGATCACGTGGTTTATGGACACCATGGCGTGACTAACTTGGACAGTGTTGCCTGGTCGCCAGATGAAAATGATAAAAATTCGTAAATTGATGATTGCAATTACGAGAGCTGTAAGAATCGCATAACTTGGTGTACCGGAGTAATCGCGCACACCCCACTTTTTGGGCCAGTATAGATTTAAAAAAAAACACAGAGTCATCGCCCACCCCTTCAAATACCCCAACGCTGAATCCGCGATCCCCGAACATTCATCTTACCCGAATGACGTGGCCGCGGACCTTACAGTTAGAGGACGTCCGTGACAAAGTCAAACGAAAGAAGGACACTTCCCTTTGTTTACGCATTTCCTCTGCGAGCGACCTCAAAGTCGCGATCGTAGTGTATCTGTGCGAAAAAAAAATGATAAAGATAACAAAATAAAAATTTGTCCTGCTTAAAAAAAACGTGAAAAAAAAAAAAAAAAAAGATAACACGAGCAGCAGTAACCCATTCAGGGATCGTGCGGTAAGCGAAAGCCCCATATCCTGCAATGTAACCTCGGAGTCTAAGGTCAAAGTCTGTCTCCGCCGATGTAAGGTCGCCGCGAACCCACTCCTTCTCTCAGCACGTCGCGACCGGGGTTGTGCAATGTTTAAGACAAAGGCAAAGGGTAAATAAAGCTTCACTGGAACGCCGTACACAGACGTTTGTAAAGCGTCCCATCTCGAGCTCCGTATTCGTGGGGCCGTCTACGTTGTGCACGGACACACGCATCTATCCACCAAACAAGAAAGTTGCATAAGAGCTTGTGATTGACAAGGCGCGCGACTTGTCCTGACGCCAAAGTATTTGCCAACGCGAACGCCGGCTTTCCCAGCATCGCCCTTTGTCGCTTCATTGGTCCGCTCGCTTGTTGCACCTGGTTGGTTTTTCCATTTTCTTGTGGATTTTTACAGCGGAGCTGTTAAGGGCTAAGTTCCCCAGGATCGTGTCCGGTATGTCGACACAAACCTACCTGGACAGCTACTGCCATCTATAAGCAACGGCGGCAAGCGCGCAACCAGTCTGGTTTCCGCCGTCGCTCGTAGATGGCGGCAACCTTTCAAGCTATTATCGAAGAAATGATAGTTGGGCGCGTTGGTGGGGATTCATCGTAGGAAACAGCACGAAAAACAGACGACGACAAAGAAGAAGCACATGTAACGAGCGCAGCGCTTGTCACGTTTGTTTCTTCATCCTCGTCTGCTTTGCACGCTGTTTCCTACGCTCCTACGCTCTTATCAGTTTCGGTTTGGACTCACGTTGGGTCGGCCGCGCGCAGCTGTGGAAGGAGCGGCGACGTACGCAGCAGCGCAAATGGGTCCGCAATCGCCGCAAAGCCGATATCGCCTGAACTTCCACTGCGTCCAGCGCTTCAGATTCCCTTGCCAAAGAGCACATCGCTCGCCTGGAAAGCCGCCGCTGAGAATAGAACCAGCGATGTAAAGGGCGCCTGCAGGCCAACGCCACAGACGACGATTGTGTTACGGAGGCCAAGCGCAAGCGCGAGGCCCGGCGACGACTGGACTCCACGACGGCTGAACAGTTCCCGGGTGCGACGGCGAAGTTCCGGAGGGAGTTCATGGAGAACCCGTTTGGCGTCACGTGCGCCGTGTGTGACCGACTCTGGTTCGCCGGAGACGTATCCACGATCGGCGGCGTGTCGGACAAGAAGAAGCGGGAATCGGGCGCGTGCGAGTTGCGGCAGTGTGTTGAGTACAGCTCCGCTGGTCTTCCTTCTCCACGAGCGTGGAAAGGCTGAATGTTTTTTAATTATTTTTTTAACTAACAAGGAGAACATATTGGTGTAACGCGAGGAGAACATATTGGTGTAACGTGCTTTCATGGAACAAACGTTTGCGCTGTATGTCGATCGGCGGTGTTCATGGCGGGTATGCAAGCAACGAACTTCGTGATAGTAGAACATTCTTTCATGAGCATTTTTTGTATAAAACAATACTAATATGAAATCGAGTTTTGAGTTTCATGCATCCCTTCTGCAGCCACGCTAAATACACACCAAAAAATTGGAGTTTTTTAAAAAAATTTTTACTTTTTGTGTTTACTGACCGAGACATGGCCCACCCCCCTTTTTTTTGTGAATTTCAGGCGGCAGGGGGGTGGGCGATGACTCGGGATATTACGGTATATACTAAGAAGCCTATGAGCATTCCATTTCAAGAATAATCTATCCGTTTAATTTTCGTGTCATAACCCCTTTAAACAAGCATGCGGTCCGGACACCATCTGTGACTGCTGCCGCAGAAAGCTCAAAACAGATTTTTCTTTTCTGAGTGGATGAACTGTCAATGGATGAACTTACAAAGTAAGTTCATCCATTGACATTTTCACTCCAAGCTTCCACCACGTAACCACACCCCTGTAGCAAATCGCAGCGCGATACATTGAGGAACCGAATCCTGTGGACCATTTTAAGTGGGTTTGAAGCGTTAGTGTACATGCTGTAAATCCAGCTGAGTATCTCAAGTGACTATCATACACTTAAAGAGGCAATAGCAAGATGAGATGTTTTGCCACAAAAGTTGCACGAATTTGATACCGGTCAAGTGCCCATTCAATGTCATCACCTCATGTATAAGGTCAGCACATGCTTGATTAAAATTCATGCATGGGGCTTCATATGAAAACCGAGGTGACAAACTCGCATGAGTGCATGCTTAGTATTTTATGCTACATAGTATATACCATGTTTAGACACTTCCTAGAGTGTAAAGCTAGCTGGAAAAGAGACACACACAAGACCCCTCAGTGCCAGTAGTGTTGGTGTAACAAGCATCATGGAAACCTAAAGTGCTGTCTTGACAGGAAGGAGACATGGTCAAAACCCACTCCAACCTTCGCCATAAAATTTTTTTTTTTTTTTTTTTGCATTTTGGTACGAAAATTTTAATACATAGTGGACTATTTTGTACCTCTTTCCTTTGAAAGCTTTCCACCTTTTCACTATGACACATCTGTGGTACCCAAAGCACATCAACCGGCCCCACTTCACGCATTACACCTGAGCACTGCATCACTATACTATCTCACTATACTCTGTTCACCCCAACCCCAAACTGACAGTGCGGCAGGAGCTACGCGCTTGCTGGATTAATCAGCAGCCTCTCTTTCATCACCTGACCCCATTCTCTACATGTGGGTATGCGGTAGGAAGCGTGATCACATGGCAAAAGATAGGAGCGTGACTGGCCCAATGAGCATGTAGCTTCCACAGCACTGTCAGCTTAAGGGTGAACGAAGGATAGTTGTGCACAGTACTGCGGAAGCCACGGGAGGGAGAGGGGAGGAAGCAACTTTTGTACTAATTTTAAGCGACGGGCTAATTTTCTACGGGGAGAATGGCAACGTTTGGGTACATAAACGAGAATCCCAGCAAGAGGGGAGTTTCTCCTTTCCCTCCTCTTAAACTGCTAGTGGTATACTCTCACCCCTGTGCCTTTGGTAATGCTGCACGATTTGTAATATGAGGAGGAAAGCTAAGAAGGAAGTTGAAAAATCATTTCATGGCCCCTTTAAACTCTGCCTTAGGTTCAATAGTTCAATAGTTTTTTTTATTGCACTCGAGTGAGTTCACACCAGGCGTGCAGGCAACAAGGAAAGGTAGGGGGCCCATGCACACTGTGTGCCCTCGCTGTAAACTAACTATACATGCCAAACATTTCAAAACATAGCAATAGCTCTTATCTACTTTACTTCACTTTAAGCGCAAGCACAGCAGAAGCTACACGAGCGAGCTCCAGGCTTAGAGCGTACCCATCGAGCATGTGCGCTCCTGCAGTGCCAGTATCGTTCAGGGCGACATACTCAAGCTTGTAACTTTGGCTATGCTTGCACAAGAGAAACAAAGCATAACTGCACCGCGAAGTAGTTCTGACTTTAAGAGATGATGTAACAGACCGAACTACGATGCAAATTCAAAAGAACGTAGCGAAGAATGCAGGGAAGAATGTAGGGAAGATTGTAGGGAAGATGTACGGAAGACTGTAGAAACATGTCCAGAGACGTTTACATACGTGCTTGGGTTGTGCGGATCGTTCCCTGGCTGCTGCATGAAGCCGTTCACTGGACGCAACTCCAGCAAGTGCGGTGGTTCCACTAGCGGTTCAACAGGATTCTAAGAGCGAAAAAGAAAGAACAGAGAAAGATGATTCGCTTGTGCCATGCTAACAATTAAGAACAGGTAAGTTTGTACCCTCAATGCCTCGCTCCGTGAACAGCATACAATGCAGAGAACAACACGAGCGCAAGGTGCCATCTCTTATAGTGCTCCCTGCTTGATGGTTAACACTTAAAGGCTGATATGCACTTCACACTTTTCACTTTTGCCCGCCTCCTAATTTCTTATGTTCCCCACTTTTTACCTTGCCCCAACTTGGCTCCCCTTGCAGCTTAGGAGGGGGGGAGTGCTAAGAGGATTATCTTCCCTGCAGGAAACTGAGATTGTATGTCGGTCTTTAAGGCTGAAGCCCACTGGCCCCTCCTGTTTATGTGTATTCACTATGGTTAGCTTCATTTATGCAACTTACGGTAATGTGGCCCTCAACACTGCGTTCCTCCAATGGAGATATGTTGTGTCTGACAAGGTTGCCCTCCTTCATGAGGGCTTGGTTTCTGTCCCCTTTGTATTTTAGAAGAGAAGCACGCTCCCATTTAAGTCTCCATCCCTAGCCTCTCTCATTTGTATCAAAAACAATTTTTAGTTGCAACATTGAAAACCACGCTTTAGTCTACAGTTTTTTTTTTATCACAAGCGACGTTGCAACTCAAAATTGTGAGTAGCATTGTGAGAATTACGTTTCAGCGCCCATTCAGTGGCGTTCACATAGATGGATCGCCGTACACCACACCATTCGTGTGAAGCTTTGCAGTGTAAGGAATCTTGCCCATTTTGTTGGGGCATTTAAAGTAGTCAGATCCTGCTAGGAAGGTGTAGAATCAACAATCCCAATGTGAATAAGAGCGCAGGGACGCACACTGATGCCAACTTTGCATCCAATAGTTTTGTTGATAAAGAACACTGTGCTCCTTGCCCACACCCTATCGTGCATGTGCAGCACCGCTAGCACTGCTGGGGGTGCAGTTGTTCGGTATCAAACAACGGTTGCTGTATAAAATACTTTGCCTCTAGGGGATCCAGCACTCATTGCAGTGTACACATGCCCATGCAATCCATGAAACAAGTTAACTAGCACCAAAATATTCAGTCCACAAGCAGTGCATACTACTATAAAATAGAATAAACAAACATAGCATGCCTTGGTCAACTGATGTGACCCTCCTTGCTCTAGACGCTTGAAGTATAAAAACGACAAGAAAATGGCACAAGAACAATGCCATCTCAATGACAGGAAGAAATTGGGGAGCACCATAAATAACCCAAAGACTAGTGTAGTCCCCATTCTAATGACAACATGAACAAAACTGGCTGAAATAAATTTTATAAATATGGTAGACGAATACCACATTCAGGGTATTCACTAATATTTCAACATTTTTTCCTCCAAAAGCCACATTTACTTGGATGCTGTGGACGTCATAGGAACATACTCATAAATTTACACCCTGTTCCAGGGCAGAGAACTGAGAGCAGGAAGGAAAGACTGTTCTGCATCATCTTGAGACTTCAGCAACACCAAGCACACACAGAGCAGAAGAACAATAGGAAACAAATAAAGGTCTTCATATACCATGTGGAGAGGCAAAGCCAATGTATCCGTCGCCTCCACGGCATCTCTGATGAGCTCATAGCCGGTCTCTGTAATGGCACTTGCATCCAGGGGGCTGAAATGGGATGCAGACACAAATGCAGAAAATGAACAGTGCAAACCCAGTGCACCTACCAGGAACACCAATCAAGGAGTTCCAGCAGTGAGCTGAGAATGTTGATCTCCGTTTCATGCTCTTTAATAAACGAGGGTGAAGCCATTTTTCCAAAGCCCACTAGTAAATGATTTAGACATCTCGAGGGACCATACTGGCCCGATGGATGATAGATGGACGGATGATATATATAATGGCTGTACCCTTTATAACGGCCGGTAGCTTGCGTCACATAGCCTAGAAACCGAAAGTATGATTCCTCCCCTTGCCCTTCTAAGCTAATTTGCTACCTCTCTGCATTTTTCTATCACCAAGATGTGTGGGATGTCACCAGGATGCCCTTCAAAGGATCGGGCAAGGATGACCTTTGTCCCTCTTGTTCCCCTCCTACAGGGATTATTTTCGTCATTAAAACCAAAAAGATCCCCCCTGCTTTCTCCCACTGGTGAGGGAGATGTAAACTTTTGTCTGGTCAAACCTAGTCAGCATTACCTCAAAACCGGGCCCACTGGGAGACAGGGCTAAGACTTTGGACCGGAGGCACAAGGCGAGAGAGTCCCAATTTTCCTCTGTCGGATAATTTCCACCAATCTTCTAACCTCTTTTTTGTGACAGTAATCTTCTCCTCCTCCATTCTTCCATCATTGCTACCAAAAACCAGCCCGTCCGCCAGAACTGCTACCTCTTCAGGAGGGTGGGGCAAAGCCCTGTGCACCTCAAAACCAAATATTTGATTGTCTCACTTTCACTATGGCATACGGCACATAATTTGTATCTCTCGAAATATAGCCCTACATATCTTTGTCACTGTTTTGTATGAGGATTTTCTTGATTACTGATGCCCACTTCAAGACCATTGCACAATTGCGGCCACTGGTCAGCTATCTTACATCACCTACATGAAGTGTGTCAAGCCTGGAAAGCTACCATCTATAGAGCACATTTTGGGTTCAATCACCATCATTCGTCGAAGTTGTTTCGTGAAACTTTACGTAAACTGTCGAACAGTGGACGCGATGTGTGCCTTCAGATGTTTTGCGCATTCAAAAATGTGGATACCGATCAAGAATCTATGCCATGGATATGATTGCAGTCCTTCGGGGACACGCTGCAAGTGTAACGCGCATAAACCTTAATGCCGAAGCGATCTGCTCGCTGCATGCTGACCTTGGTCCCCAAGTGTTAGTCACGCACGGAAACTTAGAATGCGTCTCTGATTGAGAAAATATTAGAGGATCCTAACCATATACGAGGTGTGTACCATGACTATGTTTAGAAGTGTTCTAAATAAAATGCCAGCCAACCAAATGAATCTATGTGCTTTCCTGTTTGTTCCACGACCGGCTTGCAGTTCGTGCTGGCTCCAAGTGTGTTGTGCGCAAGGGATCTGTTCAACAATGACAATTAATTAAAAAAGGTGGGCCGCCCATTGCAATGTGTGGGAATTCGCTGTCGGATGCGACAAACGGAGGCTCACCATGCCAATGTGTTGCGCAATCGAGAGTGCAAACCATCCTAGTCACGATAGGACGAAGACTTACCGCAAGTAAGTATCGCGTCATTTGATCATGATATCGTTTCTCGGTAGTACAATCTGTAAGAATCATTCTTTGTGACTAAGGTTCTCACGAGTCGCCCAGAGATCCACCGACAGTGGGGACGGAGCATAACAAAAAAAAACTGTCTGCCATTTGAGAGAAGCATGGTTTGTTGAGACCATTTTGAAGAGGACTGTTTTGACCGAACTGGACAGACTGCACCTAAAAGCCAGTGCAGTCCCAACCAAAATGAGTTGCTGGGCAAGTTGGATAGACATCTTGACTTAAACAGCGCAAATAAGTTACGTAAGGAAGAGACAACAGGAAGGAAAGAGCGCTGTCCCAACCATCTTCAACTTGACAGAACATCCTTTGGAGGTAATACGTGACCCCTTAGCTGTTGAAAATGTTACCTTTCTTGAATTTCTTTACAATATCTGAACACAAATATTTTCAACTGACCCATCCAAGGGGAAAAAAAAAGTTAGCAGAAGTTGAGATGACCAGGTGACTCGTGCAGTAGAATAAGCAATTGAAATTTGCCTATTCTATTACATTATTATGGATGGATTTGTTAAATCTTCGTCTGTTTCATGCCTTTGCATACCATATTTACTTGCATAATGAACACTTTTTTCTCCGAAAAATTGACCCATATTTTGGGGGGGGGTCATTACACGAGGTAAAATTGTTGCATGTACACACTTTGCGTAAATGTCATTTTAGGTGCCAATATGACATGGCAGGGTACTGTAACACGTCTCCACTGACGGAAGTGCGCCCATGGCTGGTCGTGGGCGTGCCACAGTAATCACGCTCTATAATTTGCAAACCTTCTTTAAGGCGCTTCTGGCATGCCTTTCCCTGAAGAAAAAGCGCCCTACGAAGCTCACTCAGCACGGAGAGCAACACAACCGTTCTTAGGCCTAACCACTTTCACCCACTGTCGAAAGCGGACCACAGACGACGGCGTGTTCGTTGACATCAATGCATCCGATAGGCAAAGAATATCCGAGGCTGGGCAATTCCTTGACTCAAGCTTCGTCAAGTGTGCACATCGCTCAGTTTCGCGGTTGATCACTTCCGCAACGACGCACTTGCAGCCGCTTGCAGCCATTACGAGAGCGGCTTGGCTTCACTTGGCTTGGCTTAGCTTGGCCTGACTGCTTGGCGGCAAAAGAAAATGGACTTGGTGGCTAGCTAAATTGGACGCAATTCGAGACTCACAAAGCCGAAAATTGGAAATGCATTCTTTACGGGAGGGAAAAAAAAAGTCAAAATATTGGTACCCGTTTTGGGGAGGTGCGTTCATTATGCGAGTGCATTCATTATGCCAGTAAATACATAAGCAAAGAGTGGAACTGATAAAAATGGTTCCACTCCTTGTGCGGATATCGCTTAAAGGGGTTATGACACGCCAAAAATAAAATATTACATAACTATACTGCTAGGACCCATTGTATGTTCCTATAATCCTGCTAAATTTGTTTTGAAAAAGGCGCGATAATTTCGTGGATAAATCGATTTATATGCGGGCCCCTCGGAGGGGCAGATCCGGGCGGACCTGGAGGCTGATGACGTAGCCAGCCTCCAGCGTGGTGTCTACTTGCACGCACTCACAGACTTGGCTCTCTTGGCGTATCGAGCCTCAGCTTCCTCGTTTACCTTCCACGTTACCAGCATCCGGTCTGTGACAATTACATCTACGGCATCGATCGCCTTGTCGAAGTGTTCGACATTAATCACAGCAGAGATGAGAGTGATTGCTATCAAGAGATGTTGGAAGCCGTTCATTTTGACTGCGACCCGCTGGCGACGAGCTCCAGCGACGACGAGTTCGCCGTGGTCACTGTCGTCCGGGAATGTCTCGCAGGCGCATGCAGGGTGGAAGGTCAACCGGCCGGGGGGTGAGGGCGAGATTAGCTTTGAGTTTACCGAGCTGTTTGAGCGGTTTTGTTCGTACCGCGACGAGAAGAGCATGGGCGATCATGGGGGCGCCTAGAATGAGAGAGTGTTCATGGTCACATGGTTTATGGACACCATGGTGTGACTAAGTTGAGCAGTGTTGCCTGGTCGCCAGATGAAAATTATAAAAATTCGTAAATTGAATATTGCAATTATCAGAGCTCTAAAAATTGCGTAACTTGGTGTATATACTAAGTAGCCTATGACCATTCCATTTAAAGAATAATCTATCCGTTTAATTTTCGTGTCATAACCCCTTTAAGTCTCAAATCAAAAATTAAAAAATGATATTTGTTCTGTCAAACATAATGGAACGAAACCATTTTGATGGCTTTCCGAAATATTGCAAGTTGTATTATAAATTTGCAATTCAGCTTGTTTCAAATATCTTCTGCTTCTCAGAAGAGCTGGATTAAATCTCAAGCATTCCAAATTAATTCAACCATGAGGTTTTTGAATTGATCATGAAAGCGCCTAAAGACACTGAAGTGATGAAAACAAAATGAGACATCTTGTTTCCATAACTCATACCTTCTCTCTGCTGAACTTGTAATTTTTCCTGAAAAATTCCATATTGCACAATCTCTTTTCTTAAAAAAAAAATAAAAACACTGCACGATCATGCATGCTACCCCGAATATTAATAGTTAGTAAAAATAGTCACTTTCCGTAGATCGTTTTTGCCGTCCCGCAATGCTCTCCGCAACCTGCTACGATACCCGGAACTCTACAGTCAAGGCCACCAGCACGCAGGCGCAGTAGCAGAAACTCCATATAAGTTGCATTCACTGGCGGTCATAGCTGAGCTCGCTGCTGCTTTCGAACCATCGGGGAAAAGAGAGAGAGAGAGGAAAGTGCTTCTGTACGAATTTTGAGAAGAAGTTAATCTTCTATAATCTTCTAGAGGGAGATAGCGATTTCTGGGAAAATCTGGGACACACAAAGGAAAGTCCCGGTGAGAAGAGAGTTTCTCCTTCCCTTCTTCTCTTGGTGCACCCATGGCGGAGTGGTACCGCGTCGGACTACAGAACGAAAGGTCGCTAGTTCAATTCCGGCGAGGAACGAGGGGAAAAATCCTTTCGGAGGAAAATTGAGAGGAGACGGGTGCATCCATGGCGGAGTGGTACCGCGTCGGACTACTGAACGAAAGGAGGGAGCTTTTGCACACTTTTTCAGTCGTCTCCGTGCTCGGTAACGTCAGCAGCTTTATGCTGCTTTTTCATAACGAACACAGTGTGGCTGCCAATTGACATTTTTTTCCGTTTAGTAATTAAAGGAATGGAATAGTAGAGTTCAGCCAGTGTGGGAATGGGCTCAATGTTTTCATTTTGAGGAGTTGAAAGGAATGGAATTGTTGGAAGTTCAAAATCCCTGGAATGGAATGGGTGCCCATTCTGCAACACTGATACAAGAGTTAAAAAGGAACACTATCCCCCCCCCCAAAAAAAAAATTATGCA